CATCTTATAGTATTTTTTAAATTTTTAAATATGTTGATAGACCAAAACATCTACCGAAACACAAGCCGGTATCGTTAATTTTGTAGAAAATGGCAACGAAAGTTCGTTTTTACAATATAAAAAACTACTATTTTCAACAAAAGAATTACAGACATTTGCAGATGAAGAACCAATCTATACATGGTAGTTTTTACTTATATTTGATTTGGTTTAGTTTTGTCACAAAATCTACCGAAAAACACCCTAATTTTGGTTGATTTGCAAACGCGTCCTTAATAGAAATTTTAAAAAATCACGAGAAAAGATCAAGAAACTTTTATTCAACTATCGCTTAATTTTTTGTCCTGGAACTAATTACATGACACATCGATAGACTTTCTAAAGTTTTTAATTTTTTTAATGGAGTAAGTAACATTAGGGGACCTCCGCACATCACTTACCAGTCGCCCTGCTTAACGTAGTGAGTCACAACTCTTTCAAAACGTGTACATTTTAAATACAATTTTTTACTTGATATTTGCATAAAAATGTAATATGTTTTCATAAAATATGTACTTATTTGTGTTTTGTCTTCTAAAAATAATTGTCAAATAAAAAGCGTGCCGAATCGCTGAAAGTCTGGCCACACGCATCACATAACATATGGAGTGCATTCGCAGAACGCCATAAGACCGTCAACGGTTCAAGTCATGTCTTTGACGACCGATATCTGAGCGACAAACATTTTACCAACCTACACGACCGACTTACAGGTGAAAACTAACTGAATATATTGTACTAAGCATACTAGACTCACGCGATTCAACCTTAATGATTTATTTTTTGTATACATAAATAGGCGAAGTAAATTTACTCGTAAGTTAATTTACTTCGCCTATTTAGATATTGAGTTCTCATATTTACGAGAACACTTCACAATGCATAAAACTATTTTTATGTATTTAATCGGGCTTAATTTTAATTATTTTTAATTCGCGACGTTTCGGATACTCTGCAGCACCTACGTTCATGGGGTATTTAAACTTTTTTTAAAGTTTTACAACGTTCGCCTGATGACAAGTTAATACTGTGGCCCATAATGCAAATGCGTTGTCACTTCACACGAACTTGTGAAACCGTTACTTGAAAAACCTAAAAATAACCTGCTAATTTTACAGATTATAGCTTTATCAATTTCTGATTTAAATCTATTATCTTTAAAATTATTTTTATTTATGTATTCTTGTTTTGCTCAGTGCGTTGCATTGAGGACTATTCTTCAAATAATTTTGCGTGATAGAATCTGTATAGGTACGAATTAGAACCAGAAGAAGTAGAGTTAGGACCAGAGTCTATCATCGACCTATGGAGAGGGTTATGTTCGGAGTTTCTCGGCGTGATAGAATTTGTAATGAAGACATCCGCAGTGGAACCAGGGAACCCACAAAACCCAATGGATCATAAGCTGATATGTCAATGGGCGGCCATATAGCTTAAAGATCGACAACCAATAAGCGACAAAAGGTTCTGGAGAAGAAAGGCAACCTGATGAACTAACGATCTATTAAAACATGCATGCATGTTCCTCAGCAGAACCCTGTTTTGTTGCATTCCTTAGAGTAGGCCTTATATTCAGCGGTGGACTTGTAAAGAGATATGAAAATGATGATGATAAAATTAAAGTTGTTTGACCATATAGCTCTTTGAACCGACAACCGAAGGTGTGAATTATTATTTTACAAAAATAGCCTCATATACTCATACTGTACTGGATGGTGGACTCCTTTTCTGTCCAGGTAGAGCTTGCAGTGCTCTGTTCCAGTTTGAATGATACAGAAAGCATTTCATTTTAGTCCTCAGAGGTGAATGCCTTTGTAACCTACTTTGTTTGAAGTTCGTTGCAAGTGTCCGTAGTCTGCAGTAACCACTAACCATCAGGTGGACTGTAAGTCACAGCAAACACAAATCCACTGCTAAACATAGGCCTTCCCCAAGCACTGCCACAAAGCACGGTCCTGAAGTACCTGCATCCATCGACTTTTTGCATGTCTTAGCAGGTAGAAATGACTCTAGTAACTCCATCTAGTGGGAGGATGCTCCACACTTCGTCTACCGGTATGAGACTGCTACCCAAGAACTTTTCTTCCCCATCAGTTATCGGTTCTTTGAGTTATATGGCCGGCCCGTTGCCACTTAACAGATTATTAATCCAATAGGTTTACTCTGTTTCTACTGCGAATATCATCATTTTTAGGTTAATCATTATTATGCAGAGAAACCCCGAACATAGCCCTCTCTATAGCTCGTTGAGCGACCTAAAGCTTTTACATACGACCAGCAGTTAAGGACGACGTCTCAGATTTATAAGTCATCATTAGTTCGTTAGTCACTTCACCTTCATTAAAAAAAAAACGATATCGTAGTGTGGACCCACCGGTAGATGATTTTTTATAGAATAAGGGTGACAAACGAGCACACACTATACCTGATGTTAAGTAGATGCTGTGACCCATAGACCTTTATCCTCGATTAAGAATCAAAATGCAGATACGTTACCACACCTGATGACTAAAATGGAATGCCTCGTTTCCTGTAAAAACGGTCTTCCTTTCTCTACACTCACCATACAAAACACAGCGGCATAGAGCTGCTATTTTAGACTGGTATTCTGTGAGTGCGTGGTCCTACCCCGATCGAGCCGACCTATTCGTTCTACAACCATAATAAAGCTACAGCATGGCTCTACCACGTATAGATCTACGAATTGATGATCTCATGGGTTATGTGGTTAACTGTGGCAAGTCCTATGTTCAGCAGTATTGTGATTGATTGTAATGATGATGAGGAAAAACTGATCCCAACATTATCTATTACTTGCAATAGTATTTCGAACCAGCAACTGGAACTAAATTTATTTTAAACTATCGGCCTTATACCTATTTATTATATTATAAATTATCTCTATACTTGTCTCTTTCTATTGACATTTAGTGAAAGAGAGAGAGAACAACTTTAAGCGTTTTTTATGAGTAACAGACTAAGTACTTAAATTTTGTTTACTTTATTGGTTTCCTAATGTATAACATACCTAGGTTGCAAACGGTCGTGCTTTATATTCCAATCATGAAATAATAATTGATTATATAATGATTTCTTATATTTACGCGAACACTATACATTGATTAAAACTACTTTTACAGATTTTGTCGCGTTTTATTTATTTTATTTCTAATACACGACGTTTCGGGTGCTTTCCTGACGTCCTGTATATATATATATATATATATATATATATATATATATATATACAGGATGGCCCAAAAGTCGTGGATCAAACGAGATGGGGTCATTAGCTGCAAAAAGTCTAAGTCTACGGGAGGTCCTTAAGGTCAACCCCTGCAGAGTTATAATTTATTTTGTGTTTTTATGAGAAAATTGACTTTTTTTTAACAAATTCTTATTAAAATTCCAAAAAAATCTACATTCTGTATCTTTTTTTATAATTTTCACTAGATTGGTACTGATGAGTCCTTGCGTTAGACATGCTATTTATGGTTGTTTATTGGGTGTGTTGAAGATAATATTAAGTTTTACGATTATTTTTTTCTCAAATCATAACTTTTTATTTACTTCGGACCCCACTGTGAAAATAAATATACTCCACCGAAAAGTGACCCTGTATTACAAGTTTTGGCGTATTTAATAGGGATTCTGAAAAGGCACATTACACATGGCTATGCGTGGCTTTGATATCTTTCAAGGACGATTATTCGTAGCAAGGCCAAAGTTAACCGATAAGTCTAACGCAAGGACTCATCAGTACCAATCTAGTGAAAATTACAAAAAAGATACAGGATGTAGATTTTTAGGAATTTTAATAAGAATTAGTTAAAAAAATTCAATTTTCTCATAAAAACACAAAATAAATTATAACTCTGCAGGGGTTGACCTTAAGGACCTCTCGTAGAACAACTTTTTGCAGCTGATGACCCCATCTAACTCCTAGTTGCGTTTGATCCACGACTTTTGGGCCAACCTGTATATATATATATATATATATATATATATATATATATATATATATATATATATATATATATATTTGATTGATATATACAAGAATAGCTCGTTTAAATGTATTGCATTATTGTCATTATTATATCATTAGGTAGGTATTCGAATGATATTTTAATTATCACTATATGTAGATGAATAGATATTGTTTATTCATGACTTAAAATTTAAACCAAGAACCATTTCAAAAATTTCTTGAGCCCAGATCCTTGTAATGGTTTCAAGTACGTTTTGATACGTAAAAGTGATGCGAATTTGTGTATTAAGCTTTTTCTAATTGAAAAAACTGACAAACGAGCACATAGTCCATCTGATGGTAAGTGGATGCTATGGTCCATAGACATCTACATTTATCCTCGATTAAGAATCAAAATGTAGATGCGTTGTCACGCCTGAGGACTAAGAGGCAATGCCTCGTTTCCAGTAAAAAGGGTCTCCGGTTCTCTACACCCACCACACGAAACACAGCAGCATTAAGCTACTATTTTGCGCTGGTATTCTGTTAGAGCATACTCCTACCCCATGTAGCATAGTTCTACCACGTTAAAATGTCTGCGTTAAAGTGTCTGTACATGTGAAATAATTTATTTATGAAAACGATGAAATAAGTGCTCCGATGTTAATATAAGCTTCAAGTTTTTTGGCCACTTAGGCGTCTTTGAACTGGAGATACCGTCGGCATCGACTATCCGCTGGGTTAAGCTGTCATCAAAATCGAAGTACTCAATGTGACACATCGGCAGTAAAGAATATACGGCAATAGTAAAGAAGTTTTTGAAACAAAATATATTATAAAGGATAATTTCTTATCACCTGACACTGTCAAAAGTATATCAGTACACGTTCATAACCACAGAAGAAGACAGAGGGATATAAACCCTGTATTTACCAGTGGTTTTAAAGCAATAATAGCATATTCCTTGTTCTAACGCGTGTTCTCTGTGCAGACCGGCGGGGCGAGGTTGGGCGGTGGCGCGGCGCGGGGAGGGGTGGCGGGCGGGCCGGCTCGCCCGCCTGCCGCTGCTGCTGGCTCTACTGCTGCCCGCCGCACGAGCTGACGTCATCTTTAGGGTACCTGAAGTGCTGGTAACTTTATGTTTAGTTCACCCCACACACTTTCGCTTCGGCCTCACTCCTGGCCTCCTTCACTCACACCTTTAAAGTTCACGTAAGTCTTAGAACTATGTATGTTTTGTCGTCTATTACCATGGCTATCTTGTATACCTGTCTGCTTTGTGCTTCTTCTGTTTTATACTTTATGTTCTATAAATAACTGTTTTATAAATATCTCTTACTTTATTTTTCTTTTTAATAGGCTTAGGTTTAAGAGCATAGTGACGGTGTAGGTGTATCCACTATACTATATATTACCGTGACTATATCGTCCTGACGTCGCCAAGGCGTTCGTCACAGCCCTTCCCTTAATGATAGTATTCCGATACCAGAAATGGGACCTCTGAGATTATGGACGCTTCGAGCGGGGGCCCAGTTACTGTACGAAATTACGAAATTAATTAAATATTTTCTGAAATAAACTTCAAATCACGTTAACAAAGTGCGCACATAAATAATGACAGCGTTTTCTTATCAGTGTAAGATTGTCGAAAACAAAGGCTTACAAAACAAATAACTAGCTTTTCGCCTGCTTTCAGTCTGCTAAAGGAGTTACGAATAATTGACCATATTTTATTAAGGCCGCAGATCCCATTTAGTGGTATACGCAAAGGTCTCTGTGTCTTTCAGCAGTAATAATTAGCGGGCCTCAATTTACAATGAGTTTAGGAACTCGCTGATCTGTTCAGCGAGTTCCTAAACTCTTAGGCCTGGTTTACTTTTTGAGAAGTGAGTGCGAGTGGCAAGTTCAACTGACAAATGACAAGTGCTTAGTGTGTGTGAACAGGCAGTGACAAGTGATAATTGTGAATAAAATTCGCACTAAGCACTTGTTGTCCGCACTTGTAACTTCTCAAAATGTAAACCGGGCCTTAACGCTTATTGTAAAGTTGTATTCACTTAATTGTGATACATTTTTGTCGGCATAACTTTTACGAAGTTCGTACGCCGCAATGAGTAAACTATGTCGAAGAAGATATAACTTACTTATTACAGCGATATACGGTAATGTGTTAGCCAAGTGTGGAAAAGAATTGTGATTTTTCCGGACCGATACGACTCAGGGAACTTCAAGAAAAGAGCCTACTCTTTCTACAAGGCTGGCAGCGCATCATCAATTCTCCTGATGTTGCAGTTGTTCTGCTCTGGGCGGAGGTAGTTACTTACCAGGTCACTCATCAGGTGAACCACATGCTCGCTTGCCTCCTCTCCTATAGAAAAAAAAGAAAGCCTGAGAAAGACATAATTTGGCATACCTAATAAGGATACCGTAAATACCTATAATTCCAAATTTTATGAATAAAGCTATTACAGTTTTTGAGTTATTGTCACTTTTATCACTCACTGACTCACTCATCAAAAACCTAGGTCACTTTCATTTCATTTAATTTCATATTTCATTTCATTTCATTCATTTCATTTCACTTGTAAGCTACTTTGAAATTTGAAATTGGCATCAAGGTGATGGAGCTTGGCGCCCGTTCACATCAAAAATTTTTTGTCGAACGTCGTTTCTATCAAAAATTACATAGATATATGTTATTACTCTGATGTGATGTCTCATGGTATTATTATTTGGCGCATATCATTTTGCACTCGATACCCTCTCTGCGCCCTATAACCCAGTTAGAAATGAGAGTAGGTCTGTGTCCAGTTGTGAGGAATATGTAGGCTGTAACTTAATTTTTTATTAATTAATTGATATGTTTTTCTTTGCTTAATTTTTGATTTTCTCGGTGTGCGTGGCTTGTTTTTAAGTATTTGTGCAAATGCGACATGTTTGCCCCATAAAGTAGTCCCCAAAAATGTGGGTAGATAATGAAACAGTGCCAAAAGTGTTGCGCCTGGTACTGTTACAGAAATGGTAATATGGTTGCAGCACATATGGCTACGATGGATGAATGCTGATGACGACGAAGGAAAGATTTGATTGAGTCTATGGGTTGCGGCGTCCACTTGCCATGAGTGGGTATCTTAGTGTGTCGCCCTAGCTTCTATTAAAAAAATAAACAACCTGCCGGCCCAGTGCGGTAAATATCGGTCGATTTTTAAAGGATTGTGTCATTCGGGCCATTCTTGGAAGTCCCATTTTTGTCTGATTTATAAGGAAAACTAATGTGGAAAATTTTTATTTGCCTAGCTTGTAAAAGGCGACTAATGGGATATTTGGTTTGTAATTGTCTAGACGATGGGATTACTTCTTTTAAAATTTTCCATCTATACCCAAAATTAATCCGAGTGGCGCTGCTTTTTGAACTCTACTTACCCTCTAGGGGATAATAGGCGTGACATACTTCTATATGTATATATGCGCCAAATTTTTGCATTGGCTTGTGCAGGTGCGTCACGCAGCGGCGGCGCGGCCAGTGGGCACGGGTCGGCTGAACGGCACCGTCAGCGACTCTGGGCAGTGGGGGAGTGCGGGGGCGGCGGTGGAGGGCTCGAGGCCAGGCGAGGAGGCGGGGCTGGTGGAGGTGCGCTACGAGGAGTACTTCGTGGAGCACGACGTCTCCACAGCTGACGCGCGAGCCGCTGCACGCAAGCTAAACCTCGATGACAGTACGTGTATCTTTGAACCACTTGACTTGACATACAAGCCGAATTAATAGATAAGTGTTTGGAGCACCTAATCGATTTAAGGCTAGGTCTGAAATTTGATAGTTCTATTGTGATATTGTTTTGTAGGGAATAAATGTTTCTGGTCAATGGTACTGGTGGTGTATGCTCAGGGGTGGACTTTTATTGGCAGTAACGGATGTATGGATTATCAAATTTCTTTTTTAGTCAAATTTTTTCGTCGCCCATACCGCACCTTGCCTGTACTCATATAGCGTTCAAGGCACAGAAAAAGTAATAATAAGAAAATAGAAATGACATCTTAACACATAGGCAATGCACAAGATATCTAATGTTTCATATTACATTGCTTGGCGAGTTTGTCAACGTCGCGTATTACGGTAGAACAAAAGCAGCAATGATAATTGTACAATACGAAAAGTAATAAATGAAAGTTTACAGAGGTAAATATCTTATTATTTTAGATTTCTGTGGTTCAAAGTCAGAATGAACAGTCGCTCAAAGGGCGATAAAAAGAGCTATCTTCGGGGTTTCTCCAGTAAGTAATATTTGTAATGAAGAAATCCAATGGAGAACCAAGATCACCAGTATAACCTTCCTCATACAAACTGAAGTGAATATAAGCTGATCACGTATCTGAGGAGTGACATCCGTTGAGGCAGATGTGTCATAGAGTGGGGATAGCAAGGTTTTTATTTTTTTATAGGGCAAGGGTGACAAACGAGCACTTGATGGTAAGTGGTTGCTGTAGCTCATAGACATCTACATCTACCCTCGATTACGAATAAAAATGCAGATGCGTTGTTACCCGTGAGGACTAAAATGGAATGCCTGTTTTCCAGTAAGTTGAGTCTTTGATTGTCTATACTCACTATACGAAACGCAGCAGCGTTAAGCTGCTATGTTACGCTGGTATTCTGTGAGAGCATGGTCTTTCCGCGGTCGAGCCGACCCATTCGTGCTACAACTATACTACTAACATAGCTGCAACATGGCTCTAACACGTAAAAACAATGTAAATGCAATGTGGTATGATCCCTGCCTAGATGGAAAGAAGTTCCGCGCAAGGCGGCTGCTAAAAACTGGATGTGCAAAGAAGAAGATCAGGCTAGTGATAGAGGGTTTATGGATACCCGTAGACTACCATAGGTGAATGATGAAGATGATGATAATGCTAAAAGGATAATCGAGGTAGCAGTTCGCATGACTTATTACCAGCTATATACCAGCTTATTTCACACAACTATTTATCTAGATTTTATTTTTCTAATGCGAGGAATAAAATCCAGTCTTGGACATGAATAAAGAGGAATGAAGAACAAGTATGCTCACCAATATGCTTGCTTAGCGTGGCATAGTAGGGGCAAACCTAAAAATATTGGCTGCGTTTGGCAGAAAAAAGCACTAGCAAGCGCTTGTAAGCAAAATGGCGATCGTAAGCGCTGTCAAATCGTAAGTAGCTATTTTCCTCTAGGACACGAAGTTAGTTTTAACCGGGGAACCTAACCTAATTTAAATATATGTTTGTAAAGTATTCATATTAAAAACTTACCAATCATGAATTTTTAATAACATGTATAATATGTTTATTCATTTCATTATATTACTTAAAACTAATATTGCACAAAACAACTTATAAACTCTACTTCAAAACAAACAAATTAAAAAAGCAAAATGGCGGATTGTGTCAGTGCTACTGAAGTTAGCAAACGTGTCCTGGCCGAAAACTGTTTAGTTTCGCCATTTTGCTTACAAACGCTTGCTAGCGCTTCTGCCAAACGCACCCAATGCCTATGTCCAGATGTGGACATTAAAAACTCTGCTGCCGATAATAAAGCTCTTTCTTTAGGATTTGTATGAAGTAAAACAAATGTTGTGTAATCTCAATAGGCGACATGATTTCAGCCATTTTAATAGTGTCGGGTAATTAATGTTGATTAGACGAGGCACACAAATTGGGACGGGTAAGATTAAAATCTAGTCAATTATCCGCAAGGTCATTGCATGTCAATGCATTGAAAATTATAAGATTATGTAAAGTGCGCAATGGTACAGACCTTTTATGAATTTAGAAATGCATGCTGTTTCATTTATATTCCTCTTGTGTAGATGGGCACATTTGAAATAGAGAAAGGAACTTTGATTACACATGCGCCCCAGTAAGCTTTAATATATACTTAATGTACATATTAAATTAACTCACATCACACAATATTTACTATTATAGTAACGATTAAAATAATAATAATTATAATGTCCTCCAGACCGAATTTCGCTCACGGCGGCCAGCCTCAACGTAGACTAGCCATCGGCGCAGGACAGGATTATAGTGCCCATGTGTATGCGCAAGCACAGGTGCACTCTCTATTTCATCACTCTCATATTCCAATGGGACGGTAAACCGACACGACCGGAGAGAGATCAGGCGCAGGACCAACGGCTTTACGTGCCTTCCGAGGCACGTGGGTGATATACCGCCAACTTCCTGACTACGGGCAGCTATTGAAAATTTCTTGACGGAAAAACTCAATAATTAATTTTTTCGCCCGACCCCGCATTCGAACCCAGGACCTCATGATCAGTAGTCGCGCCGCTACAACCACTAGATCAACGAGGTAGTCAACGATTAAACGATTAAAAATACATATTTATTAACACCACGATATATGATAAAAAACAACTTAAATAAAAACATAAATGGGAGAGAAACTTAAACAAGAGGCGTCAGCAGCATCTTCCTGATAACAAATCAAAGTTACAAACAGAATTGCGGTTTCCCACCTGTAGTAATGTAAAAGTATGGCATTTTTTATAGGATAAGGGTGCCAAACGAGCACACAGTCCACCTGATGGTAAGTGGGTGCTGTGGCCCATAGATATCTACACTTATCTTCGAATCAAAATGCAGATACGTTGTCACCCCTGAGAGATAAGATGGAATGTGGCATTTCCAGTAAAAAGTGTCTCCGGTTCTCCACAGTTACCATAAGAAACACAGCAGCCTTAAGTTGCTATTTTACACTGGTATTCTTATTTATTAATAAAGAAAGAGCTTTATTACTATAATTGTGGTAAAATCCTCCATGTGAGACTATCTATGGAGCAGCCTATGTTAAGCAGAAGTCCCCCGTGATCATGGATGCTGCAAAGCACACGAAACGTCGAGAATCAAAAATAAGTGGAATTAAACGCGATACAAGCCGTAAGGGTATTTTTATTCAGAGGATAAAAATTAATGAAGTTATATTGACAATTTATATTTTCATTCTCCTCCTGTATTGTGCTGTGTTAGGCAAACGGACCTTACTCGGCTTATGCCGTTAGCCCGATGGCCCGAGCGGCGGCAAGATACAATCGTCCGCATGTCATACTCAAAATTATTTATTTTAATAATGATAATTACGTTCTCAAGTATTACACAAAAGGTAGAAAGAGTAAAGAGATAAAGTAGAGACGTTCTGTTCGTTGCAACTCTTTTAATTGTCAGAAGATGCTTTGCAAAGGTTAATTTTGAACAAAAATTTTCGACTTTGCCTTTAACGTTGCTTTACGCGCAGGTTTAAACCGGACCTATGTTCTATTTTATAACTATATTAAATAAGCCGGTTGTCTCTATTCAGAGCTCATTAACATTTGTATGAAGCTTTAATAAGCTTATAGGTTAAAACAGTGTTTAAAAGAGAAAAATACATAAAAGAGAAAAATTGTATATCTTATGTTACTTCCACAGCTAAGGTCAATCTAACGACACCGTATGTGTTAAAGTCTATCAAGCCGCTTAAGGTACAGAGCGTGCCTTAAATAGACATATATACATACACTCGAGAAACATTACCCTCTTTCTGTATAATCGGGTAAAAACAGAGAAGCACACATATCAAGAAGTTATTGCGCGTTTTAGTGGACACTGTGACAACGCATCCTCCCCATATACAAAAGCAAGAATCAGCGTTGCCAATTAAAACCACTGCAAAGGTTTTTTTTAATTGACTTTACCCATTATGTCTCTCTGAATCTGTGAGTGACTTCACACTGCCAATTATTATAAGTACTCACTCTAAATACTTAGTGACAAGACGCTCTGAAATAAGATAATTGATAGAATCAGGCGTTACTTTGCGGAAATCCATTATAATAAATAATTTATTACTTTGCAACCTTTCGCTAATTAATTACAGTGATGTGTCTTACCTGGATTGAAGAGCACCTCCCGCCCTCCCTCAAATGCATGCACTAACTCCGTCACCACTAGTCCCAGCACCACTACACCACTACTCCCGACACCACTACTTCCAACACCACTATTCCAGGTAAGACACACCGTCGACGATAATACTCTGAAATAAATTTACTTAGTATATATGATATTGCAAACCACCCTACAAAACATATCTTAGTTGTAAGCACCACTTGTGTGGTCTAGAATCTAGAACGTTGACCTAATTTTACTTGTATATGTGATATTTGTAAAGATGGTAGAGACTCACATCTTCGGGATCAAAGTCGGTCGAGACTAATTATCCGTTGCGTTCAAATTCCTTGTTTTCCTAATTGTTAATAATCCAATATATCATTCTTAAAGTGCTTTTAAAAAGTATTTTTAAAACCCCGATTTAACAGCTCGTCAGATTTCGTCACCAAAATCTATTTTACTATTTTTGGATCAATACGTATTATTATTAGTTTTGGGATTCTGATGTTGAATTTTAACTATATCCTCTTATGTTGTTGTGATATTATATAGAGAGAAGAAGAAGGTTGGCCTCTGTGTTGGTGAGTACATTCATGGTACTATGTTTATATAGAGAGAATAAGAAGGTTGGCCTGTGTGTTGGTGAGTACATTCATGGTACTATGTTTATATAGAGAGAAGAAGAAGGTTGGCCTGTGTGTTGGTGAGTACATTCATGGTACTATATTTATATAGAGAGAAGAAGAAGGTTGGCCTGTGTGTTGGTGAGGACATTCATGGTACTATGTTT